TCAGCTGATGGGCTCGTATGAAACATAAGGGAGATCCTGGCGTTTTTGTCCAGATAGGGAAGTCTTAGCCTATTTCTTTTTAACAAGAGGTCTTTGGGAGGTCCGCCCTAATACACACAAGCCTCTGACAGGGACATGTTGAGATTCCCTGAAGATGCAAAGCTGCTGATTCGTTCGGAAATTCGGCCCAAAACGTTTCAAGCTATACTCCCTGAAGTAATCGTGGAAGTGGTGGATGACAGCGCCCCAACAGCATGACAAAACGGAGTCGCTCAGCCGCTCAACCGCCCGACCGCTCGAGCGCACCTAAATGCTCCTTGGTGCTGACTCGGCCCATTCGGCTGCCAGGGCCTAAATTCCCGGTTTAGATGCGATGTTCGATGATCCACATAGATCTTTGTGATACCTTTGATACCAAACATGCAGCGACCACGTGACCAAATCAACCATCAAAACACTCAAAGTCAAGGCTGCCCCGGAGGCCAGTCTTCATCTACACACCAAAAGTCAAAAAGCCCCTGAGCACTCACCAGTTGACCCGAAGAGCAACTTCAATCGACGCCAAGAACTTCCCCCTACTATGGCTTGTTGTTGCTTTTATAGGGAGACCCCCGAGGCCCGGTCATGACGGCGTGTTTTTTTGAAACGAAAGACAGGTCGGTCGACCCTCACTGGGAGGTCGATCTCCCTATTCTTTTTCGCGACACAACTTAAGAAGTCTTAATAAACATCAACTTAACACCAAATGTCTTTATCGATCTCCCTATCTTTTTTCGATCTCCTTATCTTTTTCTTTCATAATCTCACTTAACACCAAATTCGATCAGCGCAGTCACTTCGGTCACCCGCTTCCGACGGCACACTGAGGAGACGACTTGTTGGACGAATGGACTTCCTCGATTCCGCAGGTGCTGGGAGCGTATCCAGTCGCCCGTCCTGCGCCCAAGAAAGAAACGGTACCTGACGGTACCTGAAATCAAAGGCTATGCGGCTATGTGAGCTTCGTTTGGCAAAGGCTGTGGAGCCCAGTGCTGTGCTGGTCTGTTGTGTGGCCACGTGGCTTGAGGCTCAGTCAAGCAAGGCTGGCCTGTTGCAGCTGCCATTGCTCGATCTTCTCTAGCCGCCTTAAACAAAACAAAGTGCATGAAAAGTGCATCGCGCGGCCTTGTTATATAGATGAGTTAGATGAAGTATCCACGGGTCTAGAAGCCTAATTTGACACAACCCGTTCTGGGTGTTTTCAGTTTCATTGTGTGCCATGCACCCAAACTCGCACACCCTCAGCGTGAAGAGAAGCATCTCCTCTCCTAAAGCTGGGGACATGCTGGGATCCATGCTTGCCATACTCCTTGAGGAGCTCTTGCAGATTGATCTCCACCTGCATGCAAGACCGCCAGCGGCCGCCAGCACCGCTTCCATTCGGTCGTGCCACGTGCCGCCAGCACCGTGTGCCACGCGCCGTGTGCCCGTGCCGGGTGCCTTGAGGGGCGAAGTCTCCTCCGCTTCGAGGTCCTGCAGCGAAGTCCCAGGGACTCCCCACGGTGACACATCCGAGTCCTCCGTTCGATTACGTAAGAAGTGCTTCAAGAGACCGGTGAATAAAGAAACATGAAGAAACACCCGCCGATTTCTAAGAGTGGCAGGTATAGCTTCCTTGTCCCAAAAAAACACATGTCTTGGTTGCTTCCCCAAGAAGAAAGCCTCTGATTTTGGTCTATCGAGGACAGAATCGGCCACAGAATCGGCCACATCCTGCATTCCCTTCACCAACTGTTTTGCATGGACGGTCAGTGACTTGGGGTGCTCCTAAACCGAGCGCATGTGCGGTTTAAATTCCCCTCGAGACGACAGGTCGCCCTGGAGTCCACAAACCTGGAGCGAGGGAGGTGCTACGTGGATCAGTGGATGGTAGGGGATGGTAGGGCCGTTCGGCGAGTTCGGTGTCAACCAGGGTGCCGGAGTCTTGACCCCAAGCTGTGTGTTTATTTGGTTTCATGAAAGCGTTAAAAACACGGCACCAAATGCAGCCACGTGGCGATATCAATGGCCGGTGGCCGGTTGGTCATCGCAGGTGATTTCCCCAAACTGCACTGTTTCGACAGAGCTGAGAAAGTGAAGCTTCCGTGTTTCGCGCGTGGCGTGTGTCAGTCTTTTGTCAAAAGGATGTCAATGGAAACTGCGCTGAAGAGTCACTGAACAAATGAATTGGATTCCCTGAATCTGGATCAAGTCTTGTTCATTGGACCCGCCAAAATGGCGAGTGATGCATGAGAGAACTTGAGCCAGCAGAATCAGCGTACACATCAAAATCCGGCACAAGAGAAGCCTTGTGCGTACAACCCAAAAAAATGTGCGATTTGACGGTCAGCCCCCACAACATACCCCGTCAATGTGCACTGTCAAAGGTGGAACTTTGACGCTCTTGGCTCTTGATCTCCCACCAGCTGGTGGCATGAAGCCCACTTCGGGTCATCCGACCGACGTCGCAACTCGGTAGCAAGAACTGTGCCTGATGGCTCTTGGCCCAGAGTCCAGATCCTCTGCCAGAAGAGGCCTAGGTCGTTGAAAAAGGCAGAAAAAGGCGAAGGATTGCTGATGGTTGGTCTCAAAAGGCGCTTGTCAATACATTACTCCTCTTCTGAGAGTATGTTCTGCTGTGTTGATACGTACAGTAAAAGGAGAAAGAATGCAAAAGGGCAATACAGTAATTGTTGATGATGATGATGATGATGATGATGATGATGCAACGGCCAATGTGCTTTATACCTCTGATGAAACGTGGCAAGAACCCACACCTCACAGGCAAAGGTCTTGACACGAGCCTCATGAAACAATTGAAAGAGACATGAATAAAACACCGTCGTCAGCTTGGATCGCAACGCTTGATGCGATGGCTTGCCATGGGCCTGGTGTCAGCTTCCCACTCACTATCTCATTTGAACACTGCTCCAAAAAATATGTTATACATAATTAATTATACTGAATAATGCAAACAGGAACAGAGTTTTCTCCGGTCAAAATCACACGTGAGCTGTCTCTCCGCCCGGAGTTCGCAAGGGGCCCCACCGCCCAATAGCTCGGCAAGGGTCGCATTCCCTAAGCCTTGGCGGAGCGATGAGTGGCTGTGAGTACTGAGTACATCTGAGTACCACCACTCTGGTATGGCTGAAACGGCATTGGCAACAAATTGGCCGGTTGGTTTCAAAGCTTCTGCCCATCCCAAGTTGCCAAGCATTGCAACGTCCCTCACACTCCTTCCTCCCTTCGGCTTTCAGCCAAGCGGCCCAGTGGACAGCTCAACAACAAATCTCCGGTGCTCCCCAACAAGACCTTGCAGATCCAGTGCGACTTCCAATCACATGACTCATTAAACCTCCGAACTGGTAGGCACGTTGATGGACATATGACTCCCACTCAGTGGGGTACACAAAAAAGAGTGTTTGGGATTGAAGAAGAAGCCCTGGGGAGGTCTCGGCAACAAACACACCGGTCCCGTTTTCGGTGGCCGGTCCCGTTTTCGCTGACGCACAAGTCCGTGGTCTTTGTTTGAGTCACCCTTTTCAGAGACAGACTGTCAAGAACTATAGAAACACCACGAATCCAAATCGAATCTGCAGCTTTGGGTTTTCGGAGCATCTGTTTGTCCTCCTAAGAATCTGGAAAAATCACAGCAGCACGAAAAAATACTAAAAACAAACAAGACAGAAAGACACAGACACTCAGGTGGTCACCAGGAAGCACTCTTCCTCACATCGCATCGTCACACTGCGCAGACCAGCAGCCAAGAACTTCGGCACCTGCGATGTGAGTTAGGATCTGTGTTACACTCCCTAAACCACCCATGGAAGTGGAACAGTTCGGCCCCAACCATGAAACCGACCAAGTGGGGCATCTCTTCCTCAGCCGACCGGTCTGCATCTCTTCCTCGACCGACCCTCGATTTTCGCCTCTTGAAGGCAGCTTTGGACAGCTGGATGCCATTTCTCCTGACTCGGACAGCCATGCTTTTCTCTTTCACGACTCCACCTATAGGATCCAGGCTTGCGTTGGGGTCAGCCCCAACCCGGGTTGAGCCACAAGCACAAAAACCTGTAGGATCCTATAGGACTACATAATACATGTCTGACATGTCTCAAAAGTGTGAGATGTGCCATTTCTGTGAGATGGCTACGGTCTCACATTCACAGCTTCACTCTTCGAACTTCTTTTGGGGATCACGAGAGATCACAAAGAAAGGTTGCGAGCCGTCTCTCCAATCTCTGCTAAATGCCAGAAACTCCTCTTCTGCGTTCTCCGAAAAGAATCCGGTTCCTGCGTCGCCGATCAAGCCTACCTGACCTATGACTTTTTGGGTGTTGATTTCACCATGCTGCTCCATAGTTACAAAGTGGTGTGAGATCAATAGACCCCGAATACGAATCCCATCAAATGACCTGATGAACTCTTCAAGTTCGCCCGAAAAAAGAAAAGAGCGGAAACCGGCCAAGACTTCGTGAGGATCAGTCTATAAGGTTTGGGTCAAACGATATATTCATTATAGACTCACACAATGCATGGTGAATACTTAGTTACTTCCCGATGAGTGTGATGAGTGTTGAAGCATCCTCACATTCACCAATAAATGGACCCAAAACAATCGATTCATTCACTGACAGACCAAGTATGTTGATGGAGTCAGAAGTTCAGACTCCGATATTTGCCTCAGGGCTAAGGTGATCTATCCGATCCATCTGCAAGGGGCGGCCACAGAAGCCGTTCATGTGGGTCGCTATCACACACTCTGACACTTGTATTCAGTGAACTCAGTTACCACGATGGGA